GAGTATCACACGTTCTCACTCATATAGTGGACCTTGAACATCTACCATAATACTATAAAATAGGACTGACAGTGGTGGGAAACTATGGGGGGGGGTAAGGAGGGGAAGGGAGGTGGGACTAACGGTAGTCAATATCTGTCTGGGGACAGAGAGACACCCCTTATTAACAAGGGTGCCTGAATGATGCACATTTGTATACCTAACCTTTAATTGTACCCCACAATTTTATAATTAAAAATATGTTTAAAAAAAAAATTAAAAAAAAAGAAAAATAATTTAAATAATACAAGCTGTTTCACTGGTCATTTTACTTAGAGATTGTAGGCCCCAGAGTGGATGTGAGGCTGGCTGTGACCTGAGCTACTGTGTACTCTGTTGAACTGGGTTCATATGTGTTATCTTCATGATATTATTTTAGAGTTTCAAGATAAACAAAGCATCTTTTTGTACAACATGATTCCTTTCATGAGCTGAATTGTGTCCCTCCAAAACTCAAATGCTGAAGCCCTAACCCCTAATTTGACTGTATTTGAAGATAGGACCCTTAAAGATGTAATTAAAAAAATGAGATCATAAGAATGAGGCCCTAATCCAATATGACTGGTGTTCTTATAAGAGGAATTGGGTGGGCTTAGTAGCTCACATCTGTCATCCCAGCAATTTGGGAGACCAAGGCAGGAGGATTATTTGAGGCCAGAAATTAGAGACCAGCCTGGGCAACATAGTGAGACTTAATCTCTACAAAAAATAAAAAAAATTAGCAGGGCATGGTAGCATGTGCCTGTAGTCTGAACTATGCAGGAGACTAGGTGGAAGGTGGAAGAATTGTCTGAGCCCAGAAGCTATGATTGTGCCACTGCACTCCAGCCTGGGTGACAAAGTGAGACCCTGTCTCTAAAAGAAAATAAAAAGAGGAAAAGGAGAAACATCAGGGATGCCATTGCACCAAGAAGAGGCCATGTGAGGACTCAGTGAGAAGGTGGCTGTCTGCAAGCCAGGAAGAGGCCTCAGCAGAAACCAAACCTGCCAATGCTTTGATCTTGAACTCAAATCCAGAGCTGTGAGATGATAGATTTCTGTTGTTTAAGCCACCCAGTCTGTGGTATTTTATTGTGACAGCTTGAGCAGACTAACACAGTTCCTAAACAACAGCCAAACTCCTCGCCTAAAGTCCAACCCACAGAACAGTGTTTTGTTCCATGCTACAGTCCATGTGGGGCTCACTGAGATACGGCCACAGTAACTAACATTTACTGAGAGCCTTCATGCATCAAGCCCTGTCCTAAGCACTTTACCTGTATTAACCCATTTATTGTTCTTATTCCTATTCTTATTTTTGAGTGAGGAGGCTCTCACTCTGTTACTCAGGCTGGAGTGCAGTGACGATCACGGCCCATTGAAGCCTTGAGCTCCTGGGCTCAGGTGATCCTTCTGCCTCAGTCTTCAGAGTAGCTGGGACCATAGGCATGTGCCCCTATGCCCAGCTGATTTTTTTGTAGAGATGGTGGTCTCACTATGTTGTCCAGGCTGGTCTTGACTTGAACTCCTGGGCTCAAGCGATCCTCCCACCAGCCTCCCAAAGTGCTGGGATACAGGCATGAGTCTCCCTGTCCAGCTTGTATTAACTCATTTAAATTGCACAACCAGAGGGAGCTATAATGATTTCTTTTACAGATTATGAAACCCAAGGGCACACAGCCAGTGAGTGCAAGAGCTGAAACTTGAACTTGGGCAGTCTGGCTCCAAAATCAAGTGCTCGATGAGTGATTGTTGAGTTTGAATTAAAAGGGTCAAAGACAGCAAGAGTGATTTCATTAAAAATGGAGTGTGTGAAGGTAGGTGGGATGTGAGCGGGAGGGTGGTCCAGGAAGTTCAGTGTCAGTAGGAGTGAGTGGCTGTATTTTTTGTACTCTCTTTTCTAAATCTTTCTGGGGTGTTCTACTGGAATATATATATCAGTTCCTTGCAGCTACTCTTCAGAGGAGGGTAAATGCACTAAAGAGTGCACAGCGGCAGAACTGGGACTTATTGCTTTTCTGGAATAAGTTTCCTTTTACTGTGTTACTTCCTGACTTCAGAAGAGTAGTGCAAAATAAAGATGTTATAGAGAAGAGCTGGAGGCTTGGGGCTGGAGAGCCACAAAGGGGTTTCCTTGGGCACTGTCTACAGAGTTATCTGGGCCAGCGTGTCCCCTACTCACCTCGTTTACGGCCAGCAACTTGTCGTCTTCCGTACCATTGGTGCCTGGAATGTCTTTTGCTGTTACCACATCAACCACTTCCGGTAGTTCAAGGGCCTCGGACACATCAATGGATCTGAACAAAGAGAGATAGTTAAGAAGTAGAACTCAGTGGCCGGGCGAGTTGGCTCATGCTTGTACTGCCAGCACTTTGGGAGGCGGGAGGATCACTTGAGTTCAGGAGCTTGAGACCAGCCTGGGCAACATAGTGAGACCTGTCTCTACAAAAAATAAAAAAAAAAATAGCTTGCTATAGTGGCAAGTGCCTGTAGTTCCAGCTACTTGGGAAGCTGAGGTGGGAAGATTGCTCGAGCCCAGGAGTTAGAGGCTGCAATGAGTTGTGAACCCGCCACTGCACTCCAACCTGGGTAACAGAGCGAGACCTTGTCTCTGAAGAAAAAAGAAAGAAAGAAAGAAATCAGCAAGCTTTGAGAGTCCCTAACCTGAAGGAGGGATAGAGCATGATTGAAAATTAAAATATATGACAATGAATCCCTGACAATAAGCCCTGACCAAACTGAAGAGATCTGCCGATGAGTAGGGTACAGGAGAACCCCTGCTGGGCTAGAGGCAACACTTTAGTTGCTGGGGGGCAGGAGGATAGTGTGGCTGGGGCAAGGGGCATTCTTGATGCTGAGGACAATGGCCATTTGCCATTCAGTAATGATGTAGGTCCGCCCTGTGTCAGAATTGCTCCTTGGACCACACTTGCTGCCACAGGGAGATGGGGGTTTGTGAGGTTAGGATGGAAACAGGAGTTGATCGCAGTAACTTTTATATTATTTTTTCCAGTGTACTCCCCTCCTTCTCCTGGGGCTGGCAACCTCTTCTTTAGTTTTTGTATTTTAGGTTCTTCTGGTTTGGGACATCACAGGAGAACGGGTACATTCCTCTAAGGAACTCCACAGGTGTGCTTTTATTTATTTAAATTTACTTTTTTTTTGGTAGCTATGGAGTCTTGCTATGTCGCCTAGGCTGGTCTCAAACTCCTGGTCTCAAGTGATCCACCTCTGTCTCCGAAAGTGCTGGGATTGCAGGTGTGAACCACCACACCCAGCCTCCAGGTTGCTCTTGAAGTCTTTTGAAGGCTTCTTATTTACTTACATGATTTTTGCATGAGCTCTGCTACTGGTCACCAGCGCCATGAAAAGCTCTTTATCTACCTTGGGGATGTCGTCACAAAACATGGCTTCACCAGTGGCATGTTTCAGACCTGACAGGTGCATGACGGGGCGTCCAACCGGGTCTTGGAGAGGCTGGCAAGAATCCACACTCTGCAGAGGAAGAAGAGGTTTGCCTCAGAGGCCTTTAATTTTCAGTAGGGGCCTGGTTTAACCACTCTCCTGGCTCAGGATTGAGAAATTGGATGGTCGCCCTCGGGCAACATACGCTGAGTGGGCCGGATGAAGAGCATGCTGACTTAGTGATGCACAGAGTGGCATCTCACTCTGCGGCAGTGCCCTAGACATGCTGAGCTTCGGGCAGAAGGGTGAAAAAGAGGCAAAGGGGACCCTGGCTTCTCCTCCCAGCACCTTCTTTTCCTCAGTGGTTCCCTCTCTTTAGGAACTTATAGGGTGCTCCTTGTCCTACTTGTTTACCCTTCCAATGACCAGACTGTCCACGTTGGAAGTCATCGTGATGGTGAGGCCTGAAGGGATATTGTTCCCAAGAGCAGGAGACCAAAGTCTAAGTGTCAACTTGATCAGGGCCTCTGGTGGGGGTGGGATGGCAATGGAGCCTCCCCAGATCCAGGTTAAAGTGTCCTGGGTGACCCTGCGAGTCACACAGAAACATCATAAGGAGCACAAGGGGGTGGAGAGAGTTTATTCTGGAACCCTCCTCTGGGAAGATGTGTGTGTGTGTGTGTGTGTGTGTGTGTGTGTGTGTGTGTGTTGATCAGGTGGGAAAGCTGCTCTAGCAAGAACAGATCATTCATTTTTTTTTTTTTTGAGGCAGGGTCTCACTTCTCACCCAGGCTGCAGGAGGGCAGGGGCACCATATGGCTAACCATAGCCTCAGCCTTCTGGGTTCAGGCGATCCTTCCACCTCAGCCTCCTGAGTAGCTAGAACTACATGTGTGTGCCACCATGCCCGGATAATTTTTTGATTTTTTTATAGAGATGAGGTCTCAAACTCCTGGGCTCAAGGAACACTCCTGCCTTGTCCTCCTAAAGTGGTGGAATGACAGGCATGAGCCATGGTGCCCAGCCAAGAGTAGACTATTTCTAATTGCTCTTCTAGCAGGGAAACCTGCAGGGCTCTTGTTTGCTGATGGGACATTCAACATTTGCAATCAGGGCTGGCCTGGACCTTCCAGCTTCTCTGCTCTGCTGGGAGCTATCAAGAGACTCCTAGAGCATATCAGGTTGAAGAAACATTCATGGTTGGTCTGTAGATGAGTCAGACAGGACAGCCTGGAGTCCACCTGGCAGCAGCTCCTGCCTGACCTGAGATTCCAGCAACTCCCTGACTCAGACTAAGTGAAGAGCCCATGTGCCAGCACTGACTAGAAAGTCGGAACCCACAGCCACAACTCCAAAGAGCTTGCTCGCCAGCAGAGCTGCAGTTTGCAGGTTTCAGTTCAGTGACACTGACCTGGTATGTTTGGACTCCCTGGGATACTGCAACTTGGAAATCTTCCAGAGCACTTAGGAATCGGTCTGGAATTTCAGGATAACGACAGCAGTCCTGGGAAACCATGAAGAACCACAGAGATAAGCTGGTTTGTCTCAATTAAGCTGGACTTGAGTATGAGGGAAATGACTCAGCTAATGAACCCAGGCGGCCAGGACAATTCACAGCCGCATTCCCTCCCGGGCTTCACTTTTATGAACAATTCTTGTCCTCCTCCCCTTCCACAAGATGAGGACCTGGGCAGACTGGTTGGAACCTGCCACCCCGAGGGGCAGAGCTGGGGGGAGGCAGGAGGAGGAGCAAGGAAACATCTCAGAACCAGCAGGAGCCCATCGTGGGCAAGGGCCAGCTTCCTGCTTGTTCTTCTCAGGGACGCAGCACATCTTGGAGAGCAGTGGAATTGGGAAGCCTGCTCTGGGTGTCACTGAAACTTGCCAAGTGTATATATTTTTTTGAGACAGGGTCTCACTATGTTGCCCAGGTTGGTCTCAAGCTCCTGGACTCAAGCAACCCTTCTGCCTCAGCCTCTCAAAGTGCTGGGATTATAGACATGAGCCACTGTGCCTGGCTGTGCTAAGTGTCTTGGTTCCAAGATTAAATGGCAGAGCATCGGCTGGGAAGGGTCTTCATCTGAGTCACTGAAAACCAGATGCTCTAGGAATGGAGGATTCTTGGGCAGGTGTGGCTGGGGAATGGGAATGGGAAGGGCAAGGGGGTGGGGGTGAGGGTTATGATCATGGCCAGGATAGGGAAAGAGAAAGAGCGAGAGAGCAAGAGAGAGAATATCAACGAGAATATGAATGGTTTCTTGGCTTAGCTTATTCCAGAAGTTTACAATCAGAAACATTTAGAAAATTATTTAAATATTAGCATATACCTCACTTATAATCTTTACAAAAATAGAATTTCATTTTGCATTTATTTTCTTTTCTATTTTTTTATGGAGTACGTGCCTCACTGTCACCCAGACTAGAGTGCAGTGGCATGATCATGGCCACCATAGCTTTGACCTGCTGGGCTCAGGTGATCCTTCTGCCTTGGCCTTCCAAGTAGCTGGAACCACAGGCACGCACCACCACACCTGGCTAATTTTTTGACTTATTGTAGAGATGAGGTCTCGCCAAGTTGCCCAGGCTGGTCTCAAACTCCTGGGCTCAGGCAATCCTCTCGTCTCTGCTCCCAAAGTGCTGGGATTACAGGTGTGAGCCACTGTGTCTGGCTCATTTTGCATTTCATATTGATTGTACAATTCTAGAATAAACAAAATGATTCTATAGTGCCACCAAAGCCATCAGTGTGTGCCTGGGCAGGGGTGAGATCGTGACACAGGTCGAGGTTGCAGTGGCCATGAGCGTGCCACTGCACTCTAGCCTGGACAACAAAGAGAGACTCCAACTCAAAAAAAAAAAAATCCAGCTCCCATGTGCTTCATATAGCCATAGGCTCACAGTGTTCCCACAGCCGTTGCAAACTGTCTTGTGTACAACCTGTGCTGGAATTTCAGGATAACGAAATTTTTTGAGGGGGCACCGAGTACTTTCTAGGGTGATGAAAATGTTCTATATCTAGTTTGAGGTGGCAGCTACCCAGGTATACACATTTGTCAACATGGGTTAAATTTAAATAGGTGCATTTTATTATACGTAAATTAGACATCAATAAAGTTTATTTTATTTTATAGAGACAATATCTCATTATATTGCTCACGCTGGTCTTGATTCCTGGTCTCAAGCGATCCTCCCTCCTTGGTCTCCCCAAAGTGTTGAGATTATAGGTGTGAGCCACCACACCAGCCAATACAGTTGATTTTAAAAGAAAAATATTGCACACC